TGGCACTCACACGAAGAGCGCGATGCCCGTGTTGCTCATGGCGTAGGCCAGGCCCAGGATGCCGCTGCCCATGATGGCGTTGCTGAGGTTGAAGACCGACATCCCGAACGACGTCTTCCCCTCGAACTGCGGGCGAGACAGGGCGGGTGAGAGCCTGGGGGAGGGCGGAGGTCAAAGTGGCAGAGGCCAGGCCCAGGATGCCGCTGCCCATGATGGCGTTGCTGAGGTTGAAGACCGACATCCCGAACGACGTCTTCCCCTCGAACTGCGGGCGAGACAGGGCGGGTGAGAGCCTGGGGGAGGGCGGAGGTCAAAGGTCCACAGTGAAGTGGCAAGGGTCAGAGGTCAAGGGACACATCACCCCGACAGAGGTCAGAGGGCAACGATCAGAGGCCAAAGAGTAAACCGCTGCAAGATGAAGACAAGGGTCAGAGGGCAACCGGGAAGGGCATCGAGGAAGTGTGAGGTTAAAGGTCAAAGGTGGATAAGGGCCAGAGGTCAATGAGAAGAGAGGAAGAGCAAGTTCAGAGGTCAAAGAGCAAAGGGCAGCCAGGAGAGGGCAAAGGCCAGAGGTTAAAGGAGACATTGGGTAAGGTACATGGAAAGGTCAAAGTTCAGGGGTCAAAGGGGATGGAGTGAGGAGTCAGCAAAAGGTCAAAGGGGCAGAGGTTAAAGAGGATGTTGGGCGAGGAATAAATGAAAGGTCAGAGGGCAGGGGTCAAAGGGACAGGAGCTGCGGGGGAGGGGGCCCACTTACGTCGGTGAACTGGCTCAGCTTCTTGCCGGTGGCGTGGGGCAGGAAACCCTCCTGCTCGGCCGCCTCCGCCGTGGGGTCCCTGCAAGGGGAAGGGCGCGGGGTGAGAGGGCTCGGACGCCTGGGTCCCTTCCCCAGCAGAGCCTGGGGGGGATCGCTCGCTCCCGCTTGTCCCCAGTAGCCCGTCCCCCCCCCGCCACTCACCCGTCCTCCAGGCTGCTGGCTTTTTCACCCTCCGGGACAGACCCGTTCAGCCCCTCCTGCTCCCCGAGTTTCTGCAGCTCCATGGTGGGCGTGGGGCGCGGTGCGGACGTGATGTGCGTGCGTGGGGGCGGGCAGAGACCACAGCTGGGGCACCTGGAAACCAGAGAAAGGGATCAGCCGGGAATCCCCACCCAACGAGACATCCGATCACCAAGTGGGCCGGCAGCCACTCCTCCCAGTTTCTCTCCCTGGCTCTGGGAGTGACGTCTAGTGGTCAGAGCAGGAAGGAACCCCGGACTGCAGGCCTCCATCCCTAGCAAAGGCTGTCGGCTTGAGCAGGATGGGGCACGGTCTCCTAGGCGGGCCAGAGGCGTGAACATGAAATTTGCCACTAACAGGACGAAATCTGAACACAAAGATGGATCCACTTTTTGGGACGGCATCTTCCCACCCCCACCTGGCTGTGAGCAGCCAAATCAAAGATTTTGCATCCACAAGTAGTTGTTTTCCTCCATCGAAAACTGGCCTTTTTGCTCTTTCACCCAAAACGTTTCTGGGAATATTTTGAATCTTCTGTCCAATTTTCTTCAGTTTGCAATGGTGCGTGGTCGAGCCCAGCCGATGTTCTCCTTGGAAAGCTACACTTTGTCACATGGGGAAATCTCGTAGTTGGCCCCTTACTTTCAAAATGCCACTTTTTCAAAGGCAGCCAAGTTTCCTATTTTCAGGAATGCTAAAATTTTTCCGCAAAGATTTCTCACTTCAAAGCCTCACGCTTGCCAAGTAATCAAGTCACTCTCTCTCCGAAATGGATTACTTGGACATTTGCACACTACGGATTTCCTAATTACAACACTTTCAAACACGGAAACATCTACGTCTTTAATGAATACAAGTCACTTATTTTGGAAGTGTCACACTTTGTAATGTTGACATCTGAAATGCGTTTTCCACTTTTTAAAGTTCTGAAATAGCCATTGCTTCTAACGAGTCACTTTTCTTTTCTAAATTTCAAAATTTCTAATTACTCATGCACCTTCATGTTGAAATGTGCTTAAATTTATGGTTTCCCAAATGATCTTTTTCCTCGTTTTGAAAATTCGATTTTTGGGGGACATTTCCAGTTTTTAAAGGGTCTAACCGATCCAACCCTTTTCATTTGGAATTTGCTAACGAATGCAAATTCCTAAGCTTGATCTTTCAGATTTCCAAATTAGCCCCTTTCTTAAAATGCTGATGATTAAATTCCGATTTCTGCACATTTCAAACATCTTAAGTAGCCCAGCTGCCTAGTGTTGAAATGTCCCGTTTTCAAATCTGTCAGGCCACCCGGCTCTTCAAACATACTTCGGTGCCTAATTCCCCTTGACAGATTAAACCGAAGCATGCTGAATTCAGTGACATGGACTATTTCTCCTGTCCCGATGCATAACACACGTAAGCAGAATTAGACACGGGATGAGGTTTTGCCCACCGGTGCTAACACTTCCCAATCTCGGCAGGACGAACTTCGCCTCGCCTCTGACACACCAGCCCCTGGAGAGGCGCGGGGGGCGAAGCTGTCCTGTGACCAATCCCCACACACACAGAGCAAAGCAATAATTAACTCATTACCATTGTGGAGGCCTGGCCTGGGAGAGCGGAGAAAGCCAGTGTTCCTGGGGGATACAATCAGTCCAGCTAAAAGAGGCCTCCGCCCATTTTTCAGGTGGGAAAACTGAGGCACGGCTAGTCGTGCAAGATTCCGGGAGGAGCAGGGTGCTGTAGCTGGGATTCTTACCTGCTAGATTAGCTCCCCAACCACTAAACCACACTCCCCCACCACGATGGGACAGAGAGAATATCGCTGACGCATTCCCAGCGCGGGCGGGGCTGGTGGGTTAGAGCAGGAGGGCTGGGAGTCAGCGTCTCGCCTGACGTATTAATTAACAGAGCAGCAGGGAACACGGGAACAGCCGCCGCCCGGGGCAGGCTGTGCTCCTGTCGGGAAGGGGTGGGAAGGTGCCTGCTCCCGAAGGGCAGGGCATGTCCCGCAGGCCGGGGCTTAGCTTCGATGCTTGTTCCCTCAGGACACCCCCAACGCACCCCTGACAGCGCAGGGAGGGGAGTGATGTCTAGTGGTTAGAACAGGCATGGGGGGGCAGCCTAGACACCTGGTTCTGCTTGTCCGCTCCGATCAGTCCCAGTCGGAGGCTCCTTGCCTTGCGCTCCCGCCCCAGAGGGGGGCAGCAGCCGCCGTGCTCGGGCCCCACCCTCTGGCTCCCCACCCCACTGGCTTCAGCCTGAGGAAGCGGAGACTGGGGGAAAGACCAGGGGGGCCCAGCGCTGCTGTGGCCAGGCCTCGGGGAGCCCCAGGGGACCCCACCCCAAAGAGAACCCAGGAGCCCTGGCT